AAAAAAAAAAAAAAAAAAAAAGCAAGTTTGCAAAAATAAATAAAAAAGTGAGGACTTCTCCCAAAAGGTGAGAAGTGGGAAATGATTAGATGGAGGTTGTTTTGATTTATAACCTAGTTGATTTGAGCTTATAAGTCATTAGGGGTGTTTAAATACCTAATGCCCTAAAGCCGTCCTATTTGGGAGTCATTGACCTAACGCTCGACCTCGTGGATCGCTAGAGAGCTTAATAGATCAACACATTGCACCATGCTTCCATATTGCTTGGAAATGGTTGAAAAATTGCATACTTGAGGTAGTTTTCTCCTGATGGTTGTTTAGAATATTGGTGCCTTTTTAGTGAGAAATAACTTAATGTTTGTGGGTATCATTTCTGAAAACCCTCACGAGACTTCACTCATCCATTAGGGGTAGTATAGGGGTTTAAAATGCTTGTTGCATATACTAAATGTAATCGTGTTCTCTGCGAAAGTGGCGTTATCCATTTATTGCTTTTCTAGTTCATAGTTGTTTAGTTGTTCATTTCTTTCTTTACTTCATAGTTCATTGTTAGGGACTAGCAATATTTAAGTTTGGGGGTGTGATAAGCGCTGAAAAGTGCGCATTTAAACCCCTTAATCTTGAATGTTCTAGGACCTTATTCTATCTTATTTTCCCGTTTTAGTCTAATTTCATGTTTTTCAGGAACTTATTCCTAAAACATGTCAAATCAGCTGAATTAGAGCATTTGAGGAAGCAATCTAAAGTTTAGTGGAAGAAAGGAGCAAAGTGGAAGCAAAGTGTGAAAAAGTCATCTTCGATCAATCGAACCAAGATATGATCGATCGCATTACGATTGTTCCAACCCTGCCATGATAGATCGAACCTTTGTCCTTATCCTCAGGAAAATTTCCTATTCGATCGATCCAACCTTTTGATCTTATCCTCATAACCACTTTTGTCCTTTTCCCAAAAATATCTCAGCCCTTGTCCTTATCCAAATAATTGTGTTGCCTTACTTCGATCGATCAGAGCAACCATGTGATTGATCGAACTGCCTCAAAATGCGTACAAAACAGATTTCAAGCTTAATTGAAGGTGCGCTCGTAGTGAAATCATTTGGAGGTCCTAGGGCACGAGGTCTGACCATTGGGCATGACATTTGAGCTACCTATATAAGGAATTTGGCTATTTTTAGTAAAGAGGTTGGTTAGTTAAAGAGAGAATTAGCTAGAGATTAGAGAGAGAAATACATTTTGGGAAAGTTCTTCCATTCTTTTAGGGTTTCTACCAAGAACGCCAAAAGAGGAGGATGAATTTAATCATGAAGAGAGCCCTTGAGGGTTGGATGACAACAACCATGAGTGGCTAGACTATTCTCTTGGGGCTAAAGATAGCCCTAAGCATGCCTCCTAGACTTTGATGTTTGTAATTAATGGGGATTTGTGTTGTAATTCTTGTTTTGACCTCATATATATATATAAATCTTGTTTCTACATAATTTGTGTAGTTTAATACTTCCAATTGATCTTTTAATTCTATTCATATGTCTATATATGTTAAAATGAATAGTCATGTGCTTTACACTTGATTCTTTACATTTGATGCATGTTTATGTGTATTAAAATGATGAGTCTAGTGTGGGTCAATGAATGGTGCTTAATAGATTACTCTTGTGATTTGTTTGATGGTTCATACTTATTTCTTGATGGATTATGCTACCTTCTTAGTTTAATTTTTATATCATTAGCATAGTTGTAGTGTAATTGCTTTAATTTCCTAGATAGGTGGACAACTCATTCTTGTTGTTTGATGATCCATACTTATGAGTACAAGTAGTATATTTCTCTAAATTCTTGAATGTGCATTAGTTGTTGGCTTATGGAAGGATTAATGGCTTAATGATATGTTGTGTTATTCATTAGATTAATTAGACAATGTATGCTCACTTGGCCATCCAAGTTTAATATTTCAATTAATAGCACACACTTTGTTTACAACATATAATCCCCCTAATTTATCAAATGTTGAATGTCTAGGAAGGCAAAGCTTAGTGGTGAACTCTATGTCCCAAAAACCCTCTATCATTCTCTACATCTCATTTGTTTAGTTGTTTTACATTGCATTACTTTAGCTTAAATTGTAGTATAACTCAAGCAACAGAAACCTCTTTGATCATTCGACCTACTAATCCAACATTGATTCTGAAATACCTTCCTCATCCCTTGGGACGATCACTACTCACTCTTGCAACTTTAGTAGTTAGTAGTGGTAGTGGCATTTTATAAATTTAAACTTGGCCACATTTTATCATAATTCAAGTATTGGTTGTCATTGCAACGAAGGGCACACCAACAAGCTTGAACTAACTCATTCTTTAGCAATGACTTCATATGCCAATTATATATGTGAATGAAGTTCAAAGTCTATTGTTAATGGTCATAAGAACTTATAAATGATAATGATATGCATGGTCCTATAGAGATGAGCTTTCAAATGAAATTACTTAAAAAATTACTTTACAATTTAAGTTAGCACCCACCAAACTATCTATCCCTTTCTTCAAGCTTTGTCTATGATAATTTAGGCTTTGAAGTATTTTTGCTTTCTTTCTTTCTTTGAGTTACTTTCTTGCTTGTTATAGTCCAAGCTATCTTTGGATGGACTTTGCATTTGGTACCTTGTAACTTTATGTTCCTTTGTTTCCTTTGCTTTCTATAGATGTGATCTTGAGTAATGGAATACTTAGAATAATCTTTGTGATCTTTATTGATGTTCTTCTTTGAATGTAAATCATCTATTACACTTAATGTGAACATTAGTCCTTAAAAATCATTAATGATTTGTTATCATCAAAACCTCTAGATTGTTCTTGGATGAACCCTTATGATCAACAATTTTATTATTTGTTACATTTTCTTTTAATGTCTTTATAAAGTTACGATATATATAAAGTAAATAAGATGTGCATAGCTGATTTCTTAGTCCAAAATTTTTAGTTCATACAACGAATTATGCATGTTTGTATTCGTATGTTTGTGCATTGATTTGCAAAAAAAAAAAAAAAAATGAATTACACTTGTACGTTCTCGAATCCGGGGTTTTTTTTTTTTTTTTTTTTTTTTTCCATATTGTATTTTACTTTGTTTATCGTTTAAAATGTAAAATTATCGTGAAGAATAATAATAATAAAAAAATCTATTTATGTATATATATTTTTTTGTTGACAAAAAACTCATGTACTCATTTGTCCCTATGAGATTCGAAATTTATGTAATGCTTTTAAAATTAAATGAAATGGAGCTTAGAGTAAAACGAGTTTTGACCCTTCTTCTTGAATCCATTCTAATTGATAAAAATAAAATCAAACCACTCTCATTTAGAGAGGGACAAACGTGTTGCGTTTCACTTCACTAATTTACTTTTGCTCTGTCCTCAAATAAAAGTTGTATTGTTGTATTAAATTCGTTTGTTAGTAAAAATGCGCTTTTTAATTACATTAGAACTAGTCCCTAGGGCAATAGCGGTTTTAGCAAGGATCCAAAAGGTAAGTCGTTAGAGGTTTTGCTTTTGAATTGCACTCTTGACTTAAATAGTACGTGTGTTGTGGGACTGATACACGTGCTCAAAGGGAAAAAGAAAATACATTAGAACTAAGAGACCGTTTTAAATAAAAAATTTTGATGAAAAGGGAAAGTGAAAGAAAGTAAAGGAAATGAAAATAAAATTAAGTTTTCATCATGTATTAGGTTAGCAAAATTTTTTTCTAATAAAGTTATGAGAAAATATTGTTTTGTGAGTTTGGAAAGAATGAAAGTGAAATAAAAGTGATTGTAGTTCCCAAAACTACCCTTTTAATTATAAAATTACTTTGTATTCTTTTGAGACACTATCATATTTCCGAATTATGAACAAAATAAAAATTTCAAGTTCAAAGATGAAACAATGAACACTATATTATTTGTCTTTTGATATTTAATAATTAGATATATGTGATTATAGGTGCAAGTTTAATTAATAAAAAAATTTGATTGAAAAAATCTTGGGGATAAAAGGTTGAAGTTAATATATATACTTTGTCATAAAAAAAAAAAGAAAAAAAGAAAAACAAAGTTCAGTCTAATCGAAATAAAGTACCAAAAAGTTTAAGTTTGGTACATTTAATAATATACGGACAATTAAAAGTTAAAAAATAAATGAGTTTGGTACATCTAATATACCTTGAGTCCTAAGATGTCTTAAAGTCAAGATAAGTCTATGGACAAAAAACATACATATATGAATTAAATTATAATTTCAAAACTTTGTATATGCAATACACTAACCTAGTTTTTCCACCCAACACTCTATTACTAAATATTCAAATATATATATATATATATATCACTCTCAATCATTTAATTATGGAAGTGTAAAAAAAAAAAAAATTTAATTATGGAAGAAAAAAATACAATAAAAATTTAATTTTGTTTGCACATATTAAATTATATACAATTAAATTAGTATTACATTATCTTATAAGTAATTTATAAAAGAAGAAAACTCACTTGTTAGACAAGTTTGTGGAGAAAGTGAAGGAGGGTAACGGAGGTATAATAGAAAACTAAGATATGAAGACACCACTTTCACAATAAAGTAGAATTTTCTTCTGTTTTATGTCCAAAGAATTTTAAGAAAAATTAAGCCGTTAGAAGAAAATTATTTTTCTGAAATTTTTCTCTTTCAGGCTAACCAAGCTATTAACCAAACGAACCCGAAAAAAAAAAAAAAAAAAAAAAAAAATGGGTTTAGAACTGCAAAAAAATAAAAAAAAAATCTTGTCTTGATAAATAGATTATGATATTTTCGAAAGAAATGACGAATAAATTGTAAATATATTTAAAATTGAAATAATAATAATAATAATAAATTTTAAAAACAAAATCCAAAAAAAAAAAAGAAGAAGAAGTTGCTAGATGTAGGAATTTATACCGTCAGAGAAGCACCATGTGTACGCTGCCCCACGTGAGGACAGTCTACTGAATGAGATAACTAACAAACGACTGGAGCCAAATGTCACTGGTGCCACCAGTCAGCCGGTCACAGCTCTCTCTCTCTCTTCTGAGCTGGGCCTTTCACCTTTGTTGGATTCGCGAAGAAAAGTTTTGAATCTATTGAAAATTGTTTGAATCTATTGAAAATTCTTTCTTCTGTTACGCATACATATTGGGTTTGCCCTCAGAGCTCATTGAAGACCAATGGCAGTGAGTTTCTACTTCTTGATCTTTCTTTAGGTTTGAAACTACTGACAGTGTTAGTATGCTCTTTTCACTTTGGTTCTTTTGAGGTTATTCAATTACAAATGTAGCTTCTAATTTTGTAGATTCACTAGGTAGTAATCATGTTCTTGGGAAGTTTATAATTTGCTCAATGAAATTGAATTGTTGGGTTATTTGGATTCTATTTTGTCCTTGATGTGATGGAGCTAGAGGTTTTGAAAATTAGGTGGCTATTGTATCTGTTTCTTAAAGCTCTTTAATGGGAGCATATAAACTGAGTTGATTTGATTCTTGGATGATGTAAAAATGGGTTTTTCCTGGGCATAATTCTGTCTCTCTTCGAGGCTTTATTTTATTTTATTTTTTTGGGGAAGTAAGTTTAGGCATAAGATTTTCATTGGATAGACTACCGTTCATCAATGATGTCTGATCTTTTGGCCTTTTTGATTTTTTTATTAATTTGGGTTTTAACTAGATAATCTTAGGTTTTTGGTTGTGTTAGTTAGCAGATTCACTGTGTGAGATCGATTTCGGTTGGTTGCTTATGTGTTGTCTCAATTGGCCTTAATTTTGTTGACAATTTTTGTTTAATTCAGAATGCAATTAAAAAAAAGCATAGTTTTTTATGCTAACATACTTTATTAATATTTGGTTTGCTTGATTTGTGTACCATCTTTTCGTCTATTAGCTGTTTTTAGGTGTGCAAAGAGCAAAATACATGGCCTTGTACTGGATGATGCCCATGTGTTGAATATGAGAAGTGATTTAACTTGTGAGTAAAAGCAAAATGAAATAGCAACAGTTCTTTTTCCTCTTTCAGACACGCGCTTGTGAATGTTGGGCTTTTCGGGTTTGTTGGTAATCCTTTCATTGCTTTTTAAGAGAGAAAGAATGCTCTGCTGTGTCTAGTGATTATTTTATCTTCTGCGTGTATGGATTAGTCAAGATGAATCCTTTTCAAACTTTACCAAACTTAATTTTTTCTGAGTCACCATGAGAGGATGACATGGATTCAATTTCTATTGTTTGTCAAGAGAAAGAAAAAATGGTACAATTCTTCATCTAAATCATACTTGAAACTTTCTCTCTTTGGATTTCTGTGTTTGTTGATAGTCCTTTTTTTGTGTTTTAACATTAAAGAGAAAAAAGAATGTTCACAGGGCTCTCTTTCTGACTTCAACAAATCTATATTTTCTACAATCACCACAGAGTGGGCGAAATGGGTTCAAATCCTTTATTTAATATAGACAAACAAATGTTCAAACACTATTGTTTGTCAAAGAATGAAGGTGAAACAATGTTCTGGCTAGTTGAGCATCAAAATGACGCAGCAGCATCTTCAGTAAATTGTTTTGGTACAATTCTAAACCTATATCTGCGCTGTGCCAAAATTTCTAATATAAAGTTTAAGAATTATTTTCTTGTCTTTGTAATTTTTGGCCATGGTGTAACAAAGTTTGGGTCATTTCCCAATGAACCACCTGTATTAGTGTTGAGATAAGCTGTCTGCTCATTTCATTTCTTTTCTTTCTTTCTTTCCTTCCTTTTGGAATTTTTTTTTTAAAGTTGTAATGATCAGTGAAGCAGGATAGTCACATAACCTAATAATGTTTTGGCCTAGGAAAAGAATAATGATAAATGTAGTTCATGATGTTAATCTTTAAGGTGCCTATACAAAATTGAAATTGTCTATCATTGTATATGTCAAAAGGACATCTCTCAAAATGCACTAGTCTTTAAGGACTTCTTGTTGCGTGGAAACAAGCAGAAGAATGTTAACATCTATATGTGTACTATAATTTGTTTTATATTATTGGCAGTTATTTTGTTTTTCGTTTTTAATGGGGTTTGATGGGGATGAAAACAATATTTTTAATCATTGCAATCACCCCATGGGCACAACATTTATATGTTACCCAAGGATGTCTTTTGTGGTGCAATGTCTGGACATGAATATGAATGTCACAACTTCTATAATGATTTTTGAGTGCCGATATGGTGTTAAACCATCAAGAGTTAGACTGACATGGCCTTTCTAATTTGAGCACCACGTTTACTATGTGTGTGCATGTTTTGTTGGATAAGTTTGCCTCTCATTGATTATTAAGGAGGTGTCTCCCTTTAGGTTTTTATTATGAAAAAGTACACACTTGTTCAAGCAATTAACGTTAATGTCTACACAAAGACTTATCTTATACCCTGGCTGACACATACACATAAATATCAAACCTAATTGACCAAAATTTAAAAAGTGAAAGGTTGTGAGAGTCGAATGAGGAGGCTCCCGATTGGATTCATTAATACTCAAATAAATGTAGAGGGGTGTGAATATGTCTTGTTTTCTCTTTTAACCAATTTAAGATTAATTTCTTTAATTACAAACAATCACACAAATGTTGGCCAGCGGAGCAAGCACAAATAGAGATCCTAGCATAAACAATAAAACAATCGTACAAGAACACATGATTTGTCGTGGTTTGGCACAACCTGCCTTACATCCATGGATGAGAAAAGATTCCACTATAATTATGTTGAGAAATTACAACAGTAGAGAATATTCAACAGACCGTGTACATGAAATTTCCTTCTTATGATTGGTGTTCTATCTACTCTACCAACCCAAAAACCACATCTCCACAGGTCATGTGAAATAGAGGAGTTGAAACTCCGCATGCACCTAACTATTCTATCAAGAGGTTACATCACCTCTCACTTTCGTAAGTCTCAACCCATAGCCTAAGGTATCTATTCATAGAGTCCTAAGCTCAATTCCTTGTTGGACAAAGATTACATGATCTTGGAGCCTGAGTACACCCCAAACAAGAATTTTTAAACAAAACACAACTCTTAAGATATAAACATGTTTAAAGTAGGAATTTGAGACACAATATCATACAACAAAGCAAGTAGCAAAGAAAAGAGAGACACAATTTTTAAACGGAAAACCCTGGCACGGGAAAACCATGGAGATATCTGTCTTCGACTAGTCAATCCTCTATGAATAGGGAAGAAGTGCAATAACTAGTATCTTGATAAAAATTTACACTTGGCCACTTGATTAGACACAATTGCTGCCAATGTCTTGGACTCTTGCTTGGTTCCCACACGTCTCCTAGAGTCTCAGTTGTTGCATACTTCAATCTCATACAAGCTCTCCCGAAGTCATTCATTTCTGTCTATCAACACCATTGACTCCTTCGATCTGATCTCTCTCACAATGGTTGTAAGCCGAATCTCCACATAAAATTGATGAAGATTTGATGGAATGAACTGGTGCTAACACCAAATATGTGTGTGTGTAGGAGAAGAAAAATTTTTGTACACTGAAGAGTGGAGTCTCTATGGTGAATTAGAGCTTCGGTGTGACATCTTTTGTGACATGTTATAGGATAATACATTAATATATTCATCCATAAATGCATTGGGTCAGTAATGATGGTTGGATGTTTTGTTCAAGAGTTCAAGTGACATATAATATGAGGTGACTGAGGTGTGTGTATTGCGGGTAGCAAGATTATTACTTGAAAACAACATTTGGACATAAAATGGATGAAGGGCGGTTTCTTTTGATTTTAGACTTAGGTTACTTCAAATTAAACCTGGATAGTGTTCTGCAAATGGCCTTGGCCTTGGTAATTGACAAACCTGTGTTTATTTGTCTCTTTGTTCTCTATGTGCACGTGTGTTTGATAATTTTTTCCTGTATTCTTGATGCAGCGCTCTCAGGTACCCCAGTTTGGAAACTGGGAAACTGAGGAAAATGTTCCTTACACAGCCTATTTTGATAGTGCAAGGAAGGTTAAAAGTGGCGGGAAGATGAATCCAAATGACCCCCAAGACACTCCCAATAAGTTTTCCAGTAACTCTTCTCCAGTTCGAGCTCCTGCATTACAAGAAGATGCTGAACCAAAAGGTGGAATCAATCCACAGGCAGTAAGGTCAAAGCAGGAGTGTCGCACTAGCCGAGAAGATGGTGAGGTTAGGATGCTATCTAATTCCCCATTGCACCCTGACACTGTAGGACAGAGGGCTACAACTGACTTGTCTCTTCAACATCATGGTGGTGTAAGATCTGGAAGCAGTAAATCAGAATCAGGAACACCAAAGGGCACATTAAGACCGAGGCATGATCGCCGGCCAAGCCGAGAAGATGGTGATCTGAGGAGACCAACTGAGTCTCCATTACACCATGACACTGTAGGTCGGAGAACCACTGTTGACTCGCCTTATCATCGTTATGGTGGCTTAAGCACTGGTGATACCCCCAGAAGAGTTTCACGGCAAAGTGCAGGATCTGATCGCAGCATTGAACACTCACCACTGCACCCACATTACCAGGCAAAGGTTGGAGTTAAAGGCAGTGGAGTTTCTTCTCCCTCATGGGATAGAAAGGGTTCATCTGAAGGTAGCCATGGCCTTGCTCCCTCAACTCCTGGAAGATCCCGGCTGAGATCAGTTAATCGAGGCGATGGAACTGTAAGTTTTTCCTCTTGTACGATGTTAATCTACCCTATGACATTTGCATAGATACCAAGATACATTTACTTATAAAAAAAAAAAAAGATACCAAGATACTTTTGCATCTGTGTATGCTTACGGGAATTGGTGATTTAGGTCACCTATGAGATTGTTAAAGGTGAAGTAGTTTTATAGATTTCTTTAGATCTTTGATTGATTGCGAGAAGTTCTACAAAAAGAAAAGAGAACACGGAAATTATGATGGCCAAGCACAACCTGCTGTAAGGTACCAAGTAATCTTTCTGTTCTAATGTTTATAAGCAATCAAACAGATACTGAAGAATAAAAAGGCAGCAAGGGGAAACTTTTGGCCACCAGAGACAGCCTTTTAAACTCTGCCAAGAGAGGCTAGTTTTCCCTTTTTTCCTACCTTCATAGCCTGTTTCTAGTTTCAAACATCATTTAGCATTTACTCTTAATTTTTGATTCAACATACAGATCTCCAAATTGTAAAGTCGAAACATTTTCCCCCTACTTTCCCATAAATTTTGAATATTATAAAATTGGTTTGACAATTTGACTTTGATAGTTGTAAGACCAAAACCCTTGGATTTATTATAGAGTTGTGCAAGGTCCATGATCTAACCTAGAAAGGAGGGGCTGAATAGGACTTCTTTGATTGGATTAACTGTTTTTAACTACTTTTTGAATTTAAACTAAAATAATAGAATTTTAAATTCAAATTATAATAAAAAAATAAAATCTACTATTATAACTAAAAATTAAAATCTACTCAACCCACCATCCAAACAATCACACAATAATCAAATAAAGTAGTATACAATGGGCACATGGATTTTTTATGTGGAAAACCCAATCGGGAAAAAATACAGGACCTAGTCCAGTCAAATCAAATCCACTATGAGAAAGAAGTTTAAAACTTGGTAAAAGTTCCCAAATCCTAGAACCCCCTAGTTACCTCTTTACAAAGATTGATCCACCAAGCTCTTCACTCAATTATTTAGGCACACGATCCACTCGTCAATGGACTTCGATCCATATGAATCTGCTTCTCTAACCAGTGATTCAGTTTTTAGCCAACCAGTTGTCAGGTCCAATCTTTGAAGGATTGAATAGTGTTGTTGGTGTCGAGCTTCTCAGGTTAGCTCCACAACAATGATGTCAACACAATTAGCACACACTCACCAGCTCTAATGCCAATTGATGAATGTATGAAAGAAAAAGATTGGTGCACTCTAAAACTCAAAAAGGTAGTCTCTATGCATATTCTGTATATTCTCTGTAGCGATATATTCTGCCCTAGAGTAGTTTATATATTGGCAGTATAGAATTATATAGAGAGTAGGGTTTGCAGGTTTTAATTTGAAAAGGAAGCTGAATTTTTTAATGAATTGATCAATTGAGGAGCAGGATGATTGATCGACACTACTGCTAAGAGCTTTGATCTATTTAAGTCTGCTGCAGAATTATACAGAGAAAAATTTCAGATTTGGAAGTTCCCAAAACACTTTGCATGCATATCAAAAAGGATTTTCTGAATCAAATCAAATCATGAAATTTTAGAAACCCTAATACATAAGTGCGTGAATCCTAATATTGGTGAGTACATTCAAGTTTCTAGTTACCTTTATACTCTTAGTGTAGAAGATTACACACTTTGGCCTTTTCATGAAGCTTGAAATCCATCTTCAACCATGTCCAAGGGGTAACTAACATGATACCAACTTTTGAATACTAACTAATGTAGTAATAAAAACAAAAGTACAAACTCTATTTTTTATCAATGAAATTTGCCAACCTAAGTCCTATTGACCTAACAATCTCCCCTTTGGCAAATTGATAAATTTTTATTTTTTATTTTTAATAAAAATGAATGATAAAATCAGAAATAAAAAATAAAACTAACTTAAATGACTCAATTTGCTTTTACTTATGCTTCTCAAACTCAACCATTGATATATAAGCTGCAAAATAGACATGAAACTATACCCAGTGCATTATATCAATGTGAGATGAGTATAACCATAATGATAAAGCATAAAACATAAAACACTCTTGCCCCCCTTAATATATGCCTAACAAGTAATCATATCAAAAATCATTTAAGCAATTAATCAAGGTTAAGCAAGTATATAGGCAATCAAACAAGCAATCAAATATATATCAGTCATATAATGCGTTGTTCCCCCCTTTATTTTTGTCTCAGTATTGACAAAACTTAAATTAAGAAATAAAACAGACATAATATACTAAAATCCATATTTTGTTAATGTCAAAATAGCATAATTACACCTTACTGGTTGTTGTAGACACTCCATCTGTCCCATTGGCTACAAATTGTTGGAGAATTAAGTCCTAAAAAGAAAAAGAAAAGAACTGCTAAATCCTAAACAACTCGGTAGATAGAACCACAAGAACATGAATTTAGAGAAAATCAAATCACACATCCTCTTGGCCACCACTACCACTTCAAGTTATTTGGAACCAGTTCAATTGGGGTCCCTAATCCATTTTGAAAGCGAGAAGACTTGCAGAAAGAGGCTGAAGATTTGGGAAGAAAGTTGTCGTGCATTAGGCTGCTATTTTAGAGTTGAAGACTGATGTTGGGAACTCCTTGTAGGCAAGTTGGGGAATTCTTGTCCAATAAGGAATTGGGTTTGAAGACTATAAATACAGATGGGTTTAGGCAGAGAGAGAGGGGGGGGGGGGGAAGAAAGATGTAAGGGGTTTAAAGGTGAGTGTTGTGAGGAGAGGGGAGAGTATATGTAATTTCCAAGTGTAGAGATGTAGCCTCAAAAGAGATGATGAGTGAGTGAGTGGGGTTTTGATATTTGGTTGCGTATTCCCTTCCTTAATTCATGATAGTAAAATCTCTCTCTCCATGAACGTAGCCCTATAGTTGGGTGAACCATGTAAAATATTGTGTTGTGTGTGGATATATATGATTGTTATCTCCATATATGCTTGTGTTGATGTGATGTGATGATGCTTTCACTATGTGTGATGAAGGAGGGATTTAACTCTCTACAACAGCCAACCGTTGAGTGGGTTGGAGGTAGTTAATATCCCTAACAGACTTGAGGTTTATAGCTTCACTTAATGTTCTCAGAATTTTATCTTGCTTAACATGTCTTTCTTCTTATTCTCAAGCTCATTAATCAAAGACGTTCTTAGATTTTTCTGTCATTCTCATCTAAAGTATTTTCAAGTTTCATACTTAAAAAAAAAAAAAAAAAAAAAAAAATGTATTTTCAAGTTTCATAATTTTTTCTTTCGAGTTCATATTCAGCTTTTGAATAGTCTCCTTGAACAAGTCATTAAAAGTAGATTGAAGCTTACCAGGAGCTTCATCTTCCTTTTCATGCTCACTTCCAGTAAAACTCTCAGCATCAACCTCAGTTTCAGTATCTAGTTCGCTAGTTTTACCATCAGTAGCATTTGAGGGATCAACAATTGCTACCAAGGCTACTTATCAAACTTAATCACCTTTGCAATACGAATTTTCAATTTCAGGTTCAGATGAATCAGACTGTGTTGCTTTAATTGCTTTGGCGTTGCCTTTCTTTTTGTTTTTCTCATCATTTTTAAATTTCTTAGGACAATCTCCAAGAACATGGCATTTCTTACCACAATTGCCACTAGTGACTGTTGGATTTCTTCTCATCTTTCGTAGGCTCATCCCTATGTCTCACAATTAGCTTTTTTACTAGTTTTAGCATTAAACTTTGACTTTTTCAGAAACTTCTTGAATTTCTTATGGAGGAAAGCTTTTTCTTAGTGTCACTACTAGAGTTCTTACCTGACTCTTCCTTAATTGCTTTAAAAGCTACACCTTTGTTCTTCTTGGGAAGAGGAAATTTAACCCATAAGTCTGTAGTGACCCTACAAATTTTACTACCTTAATGTCGGCATGTCTTTACTTTATTCTATGGCAATGACCTTTGGTTGAAACCTAGGAGGTAGAGACCTAAGAAATTTTCAAACCACCTTCTCTTCTGGAATTGCTTCACCTACTATTCACTATGTCATTAATCTTAGTATAGAACTCATTAAATCTTTGGTTTTCTTCCATTCATAGATTTTCGAACTTGGTGGTCTAACATTTGATTTGAATTTTAGAAATCTTAACTGGTGTAATACCTTCAAGCACTTTTCTCTAAAATTTGCTAAGCCTCTTTGGCAAAAGTGCAGTTTATTATTAGGGGATGGCAACGGGGCAGATTTGGGATGGGTTTCCCTAAACCCTAACCCGCCGCCCAATTTAACAATACTTCTTCCCATAGTTGTCCTAAACCATCCCGGATTTGAACTTCAAATCCAATCCTCGTTCACAAACAAGATTCACAAACCCGCCCCGTTAATGACCAAAAGATTTATATTCATACATACATTCATACATATATATATATATGTTCAATGGTAAAGGCGAGAGGAAGGAGAGGACTAGGACTGGTAGGTTGTCACTGTTGCTGGAGAGGGAGGGGAGGACAATTTACAGAAAAGCACAAGGCAAGAGGTGCTAGCCATTGCCATCATTGGAAGCGCTGGAGGGGGTGGAGGAGAGGGAGAGGGGAGTGAATCCTTTTTGAGATGCATGCATTTCTGTTGACCTAAGAGAGTTATTGTTGAAACAAGTATTTATTGACTGGAACCCTTGTTAGGTTGGAGAAATGACAATTTCTGTGAACAGTGTCTTGGACACCCCAAGCAGCTAAAAATTTCCATAGCTTTTAGTGGATATTTTCATACACATCTGCTATGGCCTAATTTCAATTGCGATCTGGCAGCCTGATCATAGCCCTGCTGTCCCCAAATTTGGTGATTGGGATGAAAGCGACCCTGCGTCAGCTGAAGGGTACACCCACATATTCAACAGAGTGCGAGAGGAAAGGCAGAGTGAGGCAGGAAAGGTACCTGTCACAACCACCGAAAATTTTTATTCAAACCGTCAGAAGCAATATGGAAATGAAAATTCCAAGGTACGTACACCGCTTCTACTAATGGCTTCAATTCCTCTCTGTTTGCTGCAATTGACCATTTGGTGGTATCCTTGTTATACTGAAAATGTGTCAAATGTCTTGGTCATTTTGCAATCGCAACTATTGCAGGGTAGCAAAATTCTTTGTTTATGTAGTTCAATGATTTTGCCAAGTATTTTGACCCCACTGTCTCCCTCTCTCTCTTTCTCTCTCAGAGTTGTTGCTGTTTTCCATGGGGCAGAAAATGATATCTTTTGTACATGGATGAACAGAAAGCGTGTGACGCCTTCATACTATATATATAGCTTGGAAGACTATCTAATGTATAGATTAATTTTCTAGCAAGTGTATTCTTTCTGGTGTGCTTTTGATGATAAGAACACGAAAGAAAATGAAGTTTAGATGGGAAAACAACAATCCCTTTTTGTTTTTTTTTCTCGTTTCATTTTCTTCACATTCATTAAACCCTTTCTCCTGTGTGCCTAATTCCCCTCTTTGCCTTATATATTCCTGTTATATGTGGTGAGAAGAACGCCCAGATGAAAATCCTATTTCTTCTACATTAATAATGTTAGTTTTACTGTTACTTTCTCATAAAGAAATATGAATCAAATTGAAATTTATGTACTAATTTTACAATGGTATGCTGAACTTTAACTTGTTCCAGTTCAAGGAAGCATTGTGTATTCACACGAGTTAAAAGTTAGCAATTTTGGAGGTTGCAATGGAGGTTGCAATGATGATGATTATATCTTTTATTGAGCCCCCATGTTTAGCACTTCTGGGATTTCCTTTTGGATATGTCTTATTAATAGTTGTTGCTGTTTTCCATGGGGCAGAAAAGATGTTTAGCACTTTTCATTCATAAACACTATCATATGCTTGAGCCCCATGATATTGAAGTCTGATTAGTTGCACGTTCACCAAAAGGCAAATTTTTATTTAATTTTTTTTTCTTCTTCTAGTTGGTACTCACACATTCCCTTTTTGAGAATTTTTTTACACCTAATAGGGATTGATACATTGTCTAGATTCACTACAAGAAAAAGTGGCGATGAAATTTTGGTGGCCGCCAAAAATAAGTTGCCGCCTAAAACTTTTTTCAATGTGAATTAAAGTAACATCTCTGTAGCCCCTTTCATTTCATTTCATTTCAGTTCTCTCTCCTCTCGTTAAATTTCATTCATATACCTTACTCAACTACTCTGTTTCTCACAACAAATTTCATCTCTGGGTCCTCTCTCTTTGTTTCATCCGAATTTTTCACACAAATTTTCGATTTCACTCACACATGACAAAAATGAAGTTTCATCGGTCTATCTTTCATTAATTTCTCTCTGGTCTACTTAAGAAACGTACACACAAAATTATTAGGATGACAAATTAGATTACACGAGTGTAATTGTAAATCATGTTCATTTTAAGATAAATCGAGGTTCTAGGTACATCGATCGACAGGCGCTGTTGTGGCTGGGTCGGATTGAGGTTCTGTCAATTGGTTGGATCGAGGTTCTAGGCATATCGATCAAAAGTCTGGCTTGGTCGGATTGAGATTCTAAACCCATCGATCGACAGTATGTAGTTTGATCGGATCGAGGTTCTAGCCCATCAATAGACAATCTGTGGCTTAGTTAGATCGATATTGTAGGCTCATCGATTGACAGTCTTCGAGTTTCTCATCATAGCCTATCGACTAGTCACTAATGTTTCTTGCCATGGGCCTATCGTCCAACTGTTAATGTTTTTGCTGAACTAGCTGTATATCGACACAGTGTTGACCACTTTTGTCTTGTTCTTGCTTTCTTTTGAAGCTGGCATTGGGATGATGTGGTAACTTTTAACTTTTGACGACGTGGCATAACTTATATACACAACCATTTACCCAAAAAAATAAAAAAATAAAAAATAAAAAAAATAAAATAATAATAATAATAATAATATCATAAACTAGGAAAAATTATTACATGATCTCGAAATCATTGATCCGGTCAATTATATGTTGACACATAAACAAATGTATCAACTTTAACTCATTTTTATTTATGTGCCAATACGTGAACATATAATAATTTCTTCACAAACTAGTTCGTTTTAACCTTTAACCCAAATAGTTTAGTCAATTTTTCTATTTTCATGGCTATATAATAATTAAGCAACTTAAAGGACTATTTTGTTTCCTTGCATACTTCTCCGCTCTTTCTACGGGAGAATGTCACTTGGCACTCATTGATATCTTGCTGTAAGTATAGCCCCAACTCACTACTGTGCATATAATTTTTTATGTTATGTGTCAAATTCTTAATGAGTGTGACTTTGAATTGTAATGGTTTGGGAATGTGTTATTCGGCTTGGCCCAAAGTAATTGTGCTTGAGGTCTTATTAATTAGTTGCCTTTCTTACCAAAAAGGATTTGTATTACTTGCTCACCATGTTATGAGCTAGGAACTTTATCACTAGAGATGGAGTAGAGTTGAAAGAATAAAGAAGAATAGAGAATGGAAGTGTGAGTAAGAAGAGAGTAGGTACAAGTGCACCGAGTGGGTGAAAAGGGTCGCTCAGAGCAGGGGAACGGATCCTCTCCAACTCTAAGGAAAGTTCTCTTCAAACATCTAGAGATATAGATCGATCCTCAAGGTAGAGGGATGTACTGTCATAAAAATCGATGAGCCGTATCGTGTGGATAGGGATGAAGAGTGAGTGGTTAGAACACTGATGACGAGCTGCAATACCATGGAATGAATGAATGGTAAATCGTGAAGGGTTCAGATATTCAGCAACATACCACGATTTGGTGTTCAAAGTCTTTATCAGTGTAATGTCTCGTGAGACAGCGATCAATGGGTATTCCCTGTACCGGCAATATTTTTTTAATTAATGATAGTAGAATCTCTTATCACCGTGAACACAGGTCAGATTGGGTCTTCAATATTGTGTTTATTTGTTGTTCTGGGATAAAATTCACATGTTTGTTTAGAATTTGCTTCCGTCCTTCCCAACAATGAGTATTTTTACCAACATAATCACAAACAACTTTGGACCACACTGGTGTGAATAAGTAAAATAGCACTTGCAAAACTAAATTAGAAAAACGTGGGAAGAGAATGAATAAAAATGAAAAAAAAATGCACCATCGTTTGATTGATTGATATTTTTATTTACGGATATGATACAGAATAAAAGCAACAAAAATGCAATTGAAATTTTTCTAGCAATTTTAATAAAGTGAACATTGAAAGACGACAATGGTGAATTTTTTTAAAAAGAAAACTGTAGCTTTAAAATTAATTACTGTAACATATAGCTTCTTATTAGTTGTTGATAAATGGGATAATTACATAAATATGGAATTTTTTAAGTCAAACTTAAACTTTTTTACCGTCATGAATTTTTTAAAAGTCTAAGATGTATATGGAAATAAAATGTTTATTTATTCAAACTACTCTTAATATTTTCAGATACTATTTGTGCATGTAAATATCACTCCTTTACACCCAGATGTCGCTACTATATACGCAGGTATCATTTTTATGCAAATCTCTTCATTAAAATGATCTACACAAAAAGTAGTACTTGTGCACAAGAATGGTGGTACTTACATATACAAAAAATACTTATGATATCTATTTGCATAAAAGTTATACTTAAAAATAATTAGGGTAGTTTGGACAAATAAATATTATTTTTTCGGCTTTACCTCAGGAAAATCCATAAATTTGTATTTTGGCCTTCAAAACTCCATATTTTCGTAATTATCCTTTAATAAATTCAGCGATTGCAATGATAGGTTTTTCAATTTGTTCAACTTTCAGTGGGTCAGCATCTATTTTCATCTTGTTAAGATAGAAGGCATGACTCATATCAGAACTAACAAACAGCTCCACCTTCTTGTTGGCCTTCTTCAAGGCCTCATAATACTCCATCTCCGTGTCTTTAATCACGTCCCTATCCGTAATGCAGAAGAGGACAGGCAGTAGGTTCAGGCCGTACGGGGCCATGTGACCCATCAGACACATTATCTAGTGGTCCTTGCTGCTTCCCACCGGCTATGCCAAGTCCGAGAACTTGTCCACCATGTCTAGGGTTAAGAAGGGAGATTGAGGCTGCTCCAACTCCGACTTACGTACTTCGCTCCAACCGAACGAATCCCGGGTGGATAGGTGTAGATACTTGTTTCTCGTCGGTCGTTGAATAGTCAAGAAGTCTAGGAATATACCACTAAACAATATGAGGAATACAGAAAAGGTGGAAGAAGGGAGAGAAAACTAGTCCAGTGAGTGGATTGGAGCAAATGGTAGGGGAGAAGCTGTCGTCAGTTCTCTTCACCCTTGTTTCTTTGTCCTTGTCTCCTTTTTATAGCCTCGAGTTATTCAGGTGGTACATTATTGGGCCTCTAGCCTGAGGATGGGTCAGGGTTATGCCTCTCTTGGGTTGTGTTGCCCTAATCCCTATATTTCTGGAGCTACTGCCAAGTGTACCTTTCCTGTTGAATGATCCAAAAGTGGTAAGCTGTGAAAAAGTCTGATCGAGGTTCAAGGCCCGTCGATCGACAGTTTGTGAAAAGGTCAGATCGAGGTTCAAGGCCCGTCAATCGACAGTTTATAAAAAGGTGAGATCGAGGTTCAAGGCCCGTCGATCTACAGTTTGTGAAAAGGTCAGATCGAGGTTCGAGGCGCATCGATCGATTGTTAAGTTGGGCCAGGGTTCGAGGCCCAGTGGTCAACTATTTTTTGCTTTACTGACGTGGATTTTGTCCAAGTGTTGATCGTTTGTCTTCTTGCTCGAAGATAGTATTATAGTGGGGCTCTTTACTTGACCCTTGGTAATGTGGCTAGACCACATCCACATTTAGTCCCCCTGCACATGGCGTTTTGAATTTTGAAAAAAGAACAAAGCAATGTGTGCATAAAGACGCATTGATTGATGTTTTTGGAAACCGATGCATTTTCGACTGTTATCGGTTATGTGTTTAATGAGAGGTTAGTGGGTGGACACGACTGTTCAGTGTCTTCGTCTTTTCCAAAGCCCTAACCGTGGTCTATATAAAGGTTTAGGCATGGAGGAAAGAAGAGAAAAGTGACGAACATAAATTGTAAGAGAGAAGCAGTGTGTGAGAAAGCTAGAGATTGATCAAGTGCTGTGAGGATACACGTACGTGTGAGAGTAATAAGAAGCTTTTTTGTAGAAGTAGTGAGGGTGTTTGACAAAATGACGAAGAGGAAATAGTTGAGTAAAATCGGCGAACCAGTGCTGGAAATGCCGCCGAAGGAAGAATGGAAGAGAGCTTCGTTCTTTGGGCAGATGGATAGGTTCTGGATGTCTACTGGGGATATGACTAGAGACGAGATTGACAGTGGGGTAGCCCAGTTGATGGAAGAGGAAGTCGCCGTGAAAGAAGGTGCGCAGCCGCCGGCGAACTGTGTGCACCAGCTTGC